ATGTCCTTTTCATAGTTCTGGTCATTTCTTAGCTAAATCTCAATGCAGCCACCTTGAGGACTGATATATTGCTTTTTCAGCATTTTCAGGTCATCTTTAATTGCAAAATGAAGTGTGAAGTTGCAGAGACGGGGTGGGGACATGGAAGATGTGAGCTGTGAGCTGCTGCTGCCAGAACCCAGTACTGAGCTGATTCAGAGTGAGAGCCACCCTCTCCCTGTGGGTTCTATTTCGGCCAGTCAGCTACTCTTAGCAGACTTGACAGCCTCAGATAGCTTGTTTTTTTTTTTCTCTAATTGAGGGGGTGGAAGTCCTTGATGTAATTCTGAAGGGCAGCAGTTACTAGGAGAGAAACAAGTATTTTCTATTAAGTTAGTTACCTTTTGCATAGCTCAATCCTCCCAGCTGGGGAGCACCTCTGTGCAACTGTGACACACTCTGGATTCTGAAACCATCTTGATCTATGCCAGTGTCCTCAGCTTGCCCAATGTGGGAGGTCTACTTCTGCACAAGGCAGCCTAAATCACTCGCCACCCCTTATTGACCACAGTAAAAATACAGAGACTTTGTGAGGCAAAAAAAAGAAAAAAAAAATGTCTGAGAGTAAAATTGGAAATGAATACAGCTACTCTTTGGTAAAATGACAAAGGATTAAATAATTTTTTTCAGGCTATTGAGACTTGGTAAGCTTAGTGCATTTCAAGGATAGGTTCTATTGGATGATGGCATTTCTACTGTCATTCAAGGTAACTGCTACATTTTGATCATCTCTCCCTTTCACACTTACTGCATCCATAATTGAAGTAAGGCTCAGTATTTTGTTTCCCAGGTGTAGACACACTATCTGCAAAGCGCATTAATATATGTAGGTATGTAGCCCAGTTAGAGTCGATGGCATCTCAAAAATATTAAGGGTCCACAAACAGTTTTAAGGATATCTGGAGGGATCTCAAAATCAAAGAGCAATTGCACAAAGGAACTAATTTGGATGAGTTACGCTACCCATAGGATGCTCATTTTGCATCAAAGTAGAGTTGGCTTAAACTAGTAGTGTTTGCTCTTCTCCTTTCTCCTCTGCCTGCCTCAGCCAAGACTTCATAGTTTCAGGGTCATCTTGACCTGGGACTGGTCCTCCAACTAGAAACAAAATGAGTGAGTGAGTGAGTGAGTGAGTGTGTGTGTGTGTGTGTGCGCGCGTGTGTGCATGTGTGTGTGTGTGCGCGTGTGTGTGCGCGTGTGTGTGTGTGTGCGTGTGTGTGTGCGCGTGTGTGCGTGCGCGCGTGTGTGCGTGTGTGTGCGTGCGCGTGTGTGCGTGCGCGCGTGTGCGTGTGTGTGTGTGCGTGTGTGCGCGTGTGTGTGCGCGCGTGTGTGCGTGTGTGTGTGCGCGTGTGTGCGTGTGTGTGTGTGTGCGCGTGTGTGTGTGTGTGCGCGCGCGTGTGTGTGTGTGTGCGCGTGTGTGTAGGGATAACGAGAAGCATCCCCACAGTGAATGAACTTAACTTTGGGAACTAACCTCTCCCATGTGTGCCATCTCACAGTGGACTTGAAAAGAAAACCATGAAATCAAGCAATAAAAGCAAAACACTACTGAAGAAGAAAAAGACGCAGTGTGAATCTCCAAGCAGCTTGAACGTTTATAATTTTAAAATACAGTTTGTAAAGGGATCACAATGTTTCTCCTTACCCTGAATGCACAGTGAGTATAGGTATCCTGTTTGTTTCTAGGTATGGATTTCCCTGCTTCTGATAACATTGTAATACCTCATTAATACTTGGAAAGGTTTGATTTTCTTGTTTTGATAGTATGTTCCAAAGAGAAAATTTAAATATTTGAACACTCTTTTGTTATTTATACTCATTCTCGCTTCCTAACGTAGAAAATCTGTGATGTCATAGGGAGGAAGAGACTCCAATAATATTTAATTTCTGAAAAAAATAGTATGGCCTTACAGATGCAAAAATCGTATCAAATTCATGTGTTTTCAAATTGTGTGATATTAACCACTGGAGAGAGGCAGAACCACGTGATCTTAGTGCTGGCTCATGCAAGAAATTCTATTTTCAGAATGCTTATGTTATCAGAGCCAGCACTAAAGTCACCAGGTGTCATCTGGTTTTCTCCTGTGCCAGCTCTAATTCAATAAAAAGAGATCTTGTTATTACGTTACGGAAAAGTACATTTGCTTAGTCTTATTTAAAAAATCGTGCGATTTTTTTTTTTTTTTTTTGCCCATATAATGGACTATTCAGGAATATAAGCGAATTGTTAATATCCTTTAAGTTGATCCTGGCCACTTTCCAAAGTGAGGATAAATTTCAAACTTTTGAATCTAAATTTATGGTTTACGGTTTACTCAGAAATGTTTTCTAAACAGAAACATCGATAAAGGGATTCTAGTTAGTTTTTAATGAAGAATTCATGGAAATAAGGCTTGGAAACATAAACAAAGTTTCAGTTACTATTAACTACCAGTGATATACTCAACATAGGTATTAGATATTCACTCTAATAATTGAATATTTCAGTGTCAGGAAGACACTGAGCCAAAGCTGAGGAAGTGCTACATACATTACTTAATGCCTGTGAACCATCTTTAAAAGCACAGTTATTAGATATTCAGTCTCGATTAGTCTGTCTTTTCTTTTGTGGGAAGGGGTTTTGCATGATAGAAGGAAAGTAGGCTTTGGGACCAGGAAGCCCTGGGTTGGAATTTGCCCCTGACATTCAACAGACCAGAATCACCAGGGACAAATTTGATTCTGTAAATCTCAGTGGTTTTATTTATGAAATTCAGAGCCTATGATTTGAATGCTTGTTTTCTAGATCTTAATTACTGAGAAGGTCTATGTCTTCTGTCCCCCATCCAATAGAATTCAAAATGAAAACATATCAGTAAAAGGAAGTTAAGCTTATTTCTGATTTTCCCCATCAATTTTCTAGTAACCTTTTGAAATACTAACATATTTTTGTTTCAAAGAACATAATTTGGATTTCTTCAGTCCTTATCTTTGTTGGTATGCTACTTTTCAGCTCATAGACTATCCTTGATACAGTAATTATGTCTGTGTTGCAGGGTTTTTTTTTTATTTTTCCTAATAATTAAATGAGAGCAATGTGTTGACGGCTTGAGAAAGTAGCTAGCACACACAGCCTCCACAAATAAGACGAGCATTCATGCAGGACAAGTCTGTCCACATATGACACAAGTCAAAGGCACCATATCTCGTGCAAGACACACAACTGTACTCACATAATGGAAAGCCCTATCTTGTAAATGCCGACAAAATAGTGTTAGGGCTGTGTTGTATTTCATGGTTGTTTAGGTATTTATTCAACCATTAAAATTATTTCCACAATAACAAGAAACTATTTCCTTTATGCATCAAAACTAGATGCCCCTGTATTCTGAATGGAATTAAATAAAGAACTAATTTCCAGGGAATTCAAACCATATTTAACTAGATGAGTTAAAATACATCTTTTAAAGCTCCAGGAAAATGAGCCTCTAATTATTGAAGCTGGAAAACCAACAGAGCAGAAGCAATTAAAAATGGAAAAACTCATGCTATGAAATGCTCACAAATTTAAAATATAATACAGAATTGATTTTGATGCAAGTATTTTAAGGAGCCATATTACAAAGATTTCTATGCAATTAATGAAAAAAATGCCAATCATATACAGATTTCAGCACAAACGGCTTGTTTTTGAATACAAGAAGAGATTCCTGACTGACTTTTTATTTCCACCAGACAAAAGGATGGACATAAGAGAGACAGAAAGGGAGGGAGGAACAATGGAAGAGAGGGAGTTAGGAAGGAGGGAAGGAGGGAAGGAAGGAGGGAGAGAAGGAGGGAGGGAAGAAGGGAGGGAGAGAAGGAGGGAGGGAGGGAGGGAAGGAAGAAAGGAGGGAAGGAGGGAAGCAGGGAGGGAGGGAGGGAGGGAAGGAAGAAAGGAGGGAAGCAGGGAGGGAGAGAGGGAAGGAAGGAGGGAAGGAGGGAGGTAGGGAGGGAAAGGGGAAGGGGAAGGGAGGAAGAGAGAGAGGAAGGAAGCAAGGAAGGAGGGAAGGCAGGCAGGCAGGCACGAAGGGAGGAAGGGATGAAAGGAAAGGAAAGGAACAAAATGGAAAGAAAAGGCAAGCAAAAGAAAAGAAAGGAAAAGAAAGGAGGAGGATAGGGGATGAAGAAGGTAGAAAGAGACAATATTATAAATAATTTTTACTTTTACTGATCCAAATAAAAAACCAATAATATGTCCATATATTATATCCATGTAATTGCTTTATAAAATGCATGGATGCCTTCAAGAAAAGTATCTTAGTATTTTTTCTGTTTATATGATACAATTTGTTTCTAGGGGACCTAACACAGGAAATGTGATACTTGATTCTGTTTAACAAATACAGAGATGGCTCTTTGTCTAACACAGGCTATACCCAATCTTTCTGTAGGTAAGCTTCCCTAAAAAAGGAAAACAAAACAAAACAGAACAAACAAACAAACAAAAAAAAACCAAAAAAACATTTACAATTATTTAATGATGAAAAGAGATATGAACTTGAAATTAATTTCTACTTCCTGGTAAACTCATGGGATAAATTTGAATCTGGTAGAAGGTAGAATTATAAAGAAAACAAACTTTGCAATGGAGCAGCTCAGATTTGGAGATCACAGTACCTAACCATCCGACGGATAATATCATCTCGGCATATGAAATGAGGCGCAGAGCTGATTCCGCAGGGACGATTTCTCTCCCTATATGTTAGTTTGTTGTTTTTATAGAGAGATAACATCTGAGATACTCATAGTCCTAAAATTACATTACAAGAATATATGTATTGCACCCATCCATCTCTTTCATGTATTTATTTAGAATACCTATTTATTCTGTGTAATACAGTCTCTTTTATAAAATAGTTAAATATCCTGTGAAAATGTTCAAAGCACTCCGTCAACTAGTGGTCTTATTCTTACGGTGATACACTGTGATTAGTCATTTCTTGGTCTTCATGGGACTGCGCTCTGCCTGCTACAGCCAGGATGCTCAGTGGGCTGAGAAGCCTGTGGTGAGGAGTCAGCCAGGGCACCACTACCGCCCTACACTGTCACCCGGCCACACCCTCAACTCATCACCGTCAGCCTGCACTGTCACCCGGCCACACTCCCTCACCTCATCACCACCAGCCTGCACTGTCACTCGGCCAAACTCCCTCACCTCATGACCACCGCCCTGCACTGTCACTCGATCACACTCCATCACCTCATCACCACCGCCAGCCTGCACTGTCACCCGGCCACACTCCCTCACCTCACTACCACCAGCCTGCACTGTCACCCGGCCACACTCCCTCAACTCATCACCACCGCCCTGCACTGTCACTCGGCCAAACTCCCTCACCTCATCACCACCAGCCTGCACTGTCACTCGGCCACACTCCCTCACATCACCACCACCGCCATGCATTGTCACCCGGCCACACTCCCTCACCTCATCACCAGCACCCTACACAGTCACTCGGTCACACTCCCTCACCTCATCACCACCGCCCTGCACTGTCACTCGGCCACAATCCCTCACCTCATCACCAACGTCAGCCTGCACTATCACCCGGCCACACTCCCTCACCTCACCACCACCAGCCTGCACTGTCACCCGGCCACACTCCCTCACCTCACCACCGCCCTGCACTGTCACTCGATCACACACCATCACCTCATCACCACCGCCAGCCTGCACTGTCACCCGGCCACACTCCCTCACCTCATCACCACCACCCTGCACTGTCACTCGGCCATAGTCCCTCACCTCATCACCACCAGCCTGTACTGTCACCTGGCCACACTCCCTCACCTCATCATCACCACCAGCCTGCACTGTCACGCGGCCACACTCCCTCACCTCATCACCACCAGCCTGTACTGTCACCTGGCCACACTCCCTCACCTCACCACCGCCAGCCTGCAGTGTCACCCGGATACACTCCCTCACCTCACCGCCACCAGCCTACACTGTCACTCGGCCACACTCCCTCACCTCATCACCACCGCCCTGCA